TCTTATATCATCGAACTAATTCTACTTTGGTTTATTCCCCTCCATAATTACTTAAGGTATGTATCCTTCGAACATGGTCAAATCTGATGATGCACGAAGTACGTTCTACAAATGGCCCAATTATATTATCACTTCATTTCACAGAGGCTTCTTGAGACCATTAATGGCTGGTTGAAGACGACGCGACGATCTGTGTGGGTTGTCTAGTGGCTTGCTGCTATTAGCCCTAATTGTCTTCTTGAGGAGGAAGCGTGAGTCAGGTAGAATCAGTCAGCAAAGGAAGTTTGTCAAGATTGCTAACTTCCCCTCGCCTTCTACCGCTCTCTAATTTAGATTATTGCAATGTAAGGTTTCTTGTCACAAGGCCAGGGATGGATGCTTAGTCGTCGGTCAATCCCACAGTCTTTCTATTATACCCCACTTTGCCGTAGTGGGGGGGCCCGAGTCCGACTTCCAAGTCGTTCCGCCAAGAGATCAACACCACAGAGGTCCGTACGTCTCTTGACCTCACGGACAATACAGCAGCTACATTATTCATTTTGTCTCCTCTCTAATTGTAAATACGCTGTTGTATCACCTCATAAGCATAAATAAAATAAATCTATTATACCCTCCATAGGTGACCTTCCGGGGGATAGCTCTCTCATTGGAAGTTTATTTATAAGTCAGTTCAAATCTTACTTCCACAGAGATGGCTTTTCAACAAACGGCTCGGCAACGTAGTGAAGAAGCTCCATGGGGCTGAAAGAACCGGATCCCGGTGATTTGTTGGCGAGCGAGCGCCACCCACCATTGAGTTGTTCACCCCAGCCACTGCTTGACACAGACTCCTGGAGGTCACGCACCACCCCACTAGAGCCGGCCGGATGGATAGAAATGTCCGGCATTAAAACCTATTTTTCTCTCACTCTCTCGCTTTGAAAATCATATAATATTATTATCATCCTCATATCTCGAATAATATACGCAAATATTTTTTTCTACAGTGTCTTTTATATACCAGACTGAATTATCTTTTTCCAGTTTATTACCTTGATTGAAATATTTCCCTGTACTCAATTGCACGCTATAAACGCTCTTTTTTTATTGTTCTACCAAGATAAACAATTCGAAGGAAAGCATATTGCTCTTAAATACGATCAGATTAAGGATCTCAAATGTAATTCAGTCTTACATGACGCAGATCTTTTTTTTTTTTAAACCTGAATCTGATGCTTTTCGGTCTTAAATCGAATATTAACCCTACCATACAGAACACGGCTGTTAACCATGCTATGAGCCGATAGAAAACATGACTTTCCACATGTTACAGGTACCCCGTCCTCGAATTGTACCCAACCTTTTCAAACATAAAATCCTAAAGGGACGACAGCGATTTATAAATGCTAGGTACCTTTTCTAGCTTCCCTTCGAATTGAGACCGAGTTAAACATTTTGAAAATCAAGATAACATGGGTTTTATATATTTCTAAATACACTTAAATCAAATAATACTTTTTCAGAACTTAGTAAGTCGAGAGAACATGGAACGCTTCACGATTTTGCGTGTCATCCTTGCGCAGGGGCCATGCTAATCTCGAGAGAACATGGTTTTAAGAAAACATGCACCATGCATTTTCTTAAAAAAAATTTAACCACCTTAGTTTTACTTTTGTACTATTTTTTTTTTATTTGACCCTGTGTTGCTGTTTACACTTGTGTAGAAACAGCAGCCTTAGTAAATCAGTAGAACGTAGGGGTTTATAGTGATGATAACTTTAATAGAAGCGGGGGACTTTTTCAAAAACATATTAAATTTAATAAATTGACAGAACAAAGACACTTTGGTAGATGCGCGCGCAAGTGAACATTTTTAACCCGTAAGCGGTCGCAATGGGTAAAAATTACCCAGAAGGAACTTTTCGAAAATATTTCTATATTAACATATATATATATATAAAATATATTCTCAGTACCTTTCTAAATCTATATTTAAAGAGATTATTATAATAAACCTATAATTTTAATTTTATGGCATATATTCATTTTATTAGCATGTTTGGGTCAAATTTACCCAGTGCAACGCTTTTGGTTTGCGTAATTAAGTTTCGTGTTACTTTCTAGCTTCTTGTTGTTTGGTTTTGCCGCCCCAAGTGCAATAATACAATCTATTCTTCCAACAATGAGGTAGGATTTATATTTTATTTCCTTTTTTTTTTTACATTAGTTTACATAAAATGCTTTCAAACGCTGATTTTCTCCGTGATTATAATAATATTCCAAATTCCGATGATGAGGAATCAGAAACTGATGATAATATAGAAGAGAGGAATTGGAGTACAGACACTGAACATTATCGAAAGAAGAAAACAACGAGGATCCAAGAGCTTCAATTACTATATAGGAGAAAGAACCAAAAGACTAAATGGAAGAAAGCTCTTCCCCCAAAAAATGTTCGAACTCGCAGTGAAAATATTATCACCCATCTACCAGGGGTAAAGGGTGAAGCAAAAAATGCTAAATCGATATTAGATTGTTGGAATCTCTTTATAGATAACAACCTACTTGAATGCATAGTTACAAATACACACACACACAAGCCTTTTTATTGGGGCATCCAGCCCTATACATGATTCCCCTCTGCATAGTTACAAATACTAACATTTATATTAGGAATATTCAGCAGAACTATAGCAGAGAAAGAGATGCTAATTTGACAAACCTACATGAAATTGAGAAATACACAAATAAACGTTTGAATATAAATAAAATATAACAAAGAGATTACTTTTTCGGATATATTTATACATAATCGATGTATAAAGATATATTGATCAAAGTTGCATATTTCGATGTCTATAGGTGTGCTCAGAGTGTTGTATACGCCACTTTCAAATATCTAAAGTAGGACTACCTTCATTTTATCTGGGAGGTATTCTTCCGGTTATATTGAACAATTTCTATCTCCCTTACTATTTCTTATCTATGCATATAGTCATATGTTCCGAAATTTCTTTTCTTTTACCATGTACGGTATATTCAAAATTGGATTTCTTCGATTATTTCTTGATAATGTGTTATCTGTATGCTTGGGAGGGTTAGACTGTTTATGATGTATTCATTTTTTAGTAGCACATGGTTTGTTGTCCCCATAGCGGATCCAAAGATTGCATTTATCTTAGGAAATAGGTTGTTGGTCATCCACATGGCACAGACTCTGATAGGAAGTGGCTTGTAGCCAACTATACTGCAGGCACACTACATACAGGCAGTTTGACATTTGCACTTGCTAGATTCCCGTTGGGTAACTTGAGCCACTTGTGAAATTTTGCTCGTGCAATATAGATTGTTGGAATCTCTTTATAGATGACAACCTACTTGAATGCATAGTTACAAATACACACACACACACACACACACAAGCCTTTTTATTGGGGCATCCAGCCCTATACATGATTCCCCTCTGCATAGTTATAAATACTAACATTTACATTAGGAATATTCAGCAGAACTATAGCAGAGAAAGAGATGCTAATTTGACAAACCTACATGTTGTTTCTTTTTTATTATTGGGGATGCACGGCGTTTGTACGTTAAACAGAGCGTTGGTGGATGGGAGGAAGTCAAAATGACTTCTGGAAAATGCTTGACAACACAGTAGTTTAGGTTAATTAGTACTTATGTTAATAGAAATATTCAATTTATTGCGACTAAGGGCTATATCGATTTATTTACTTTCCCCCCCTTCAATATTTGTTCCAATAAAACTGCATCTACGATTGCTAGTTTTCCCGATTAGCCGGAATTTACTATTCTTTGTGAATAATTCGCTCATACAGATGCCACTTTGCCAGCTAAACACCTCTTTGGCAGATTGTCAAGATTCCATTAGATCCCGTGTGGATCTCATGGAATAAAGTCCGCCCTAGACTGACGAGGGCCATTAGCCCGAAACCATGGGTCTCTAGGTGGACGCTTTTCAGTTTGCCAAAGCTGGTGTTGTGGCTCTGTCACCGACCCGAGGCCGCTAGTTGCGGCGACGGTCAATAGATGGCGTCTAGTTTTGACGTCTATTTTGACGGGAGAGGCGACCTTTGTCTCTTTATATCAATATCCTCCCCGCAAAATCTCCATCTATACAGATGCCTGTGTTTAAAAGTTGTGTGTGTGTGTGTGTGAGAATGGTAGATTTATAAAACGAAACAGACGTACTTTCAATATTGACCAATCATATTAGGTATCCTATCAAGGTCAGCCGTCCCTCGGAAGGTAAAGATGCCAGAATGAAACGAACAGAGACGACGTCTTAAGAGAGGGACAACTGCAGTTTTAGTTTTTTTTTTTTTACATTATCAAAACTTTTATCGCTAAACTCAGATAAGGGAAGTCTAACCTTGCTCTGTCAAACTTCCCCGAAATGTATCGCTCAAATATAGTGTGTGGGGAAAGTTACATTAATTAACAAATATGATCTTCTAGATGAGAGCTGAAATTGGAAGTCTGAAAGTGCACACAACCGTTATATGGAGATAACAGATAAGATATCACCCAAGTTATGGAGAGATATCCCTTTCTAGAGAATCGGGTAGATAAGCAATGGCCGCTCTTATGCAATACTCCTTGTTTTTCAAATAACCAGTTGAAATTCAAATACTTGAAGGGGGTCTCTTATATGAATTTAAGCAGAAATCTTCACACACTAAGGGAGGTATCTTGCAATATCCTTTACGACGCAAAATGCGTCTAACGAGAGACATCGAATTGGTTGCTTTTTGTTTGAGGAGAGAGAATCAAGTTACTAAGGTTGTCCACCGAAAAAAAAAAGGGTGATTGTGGAAGATGTTGCTTTGAATGGAGTTCTTCAGCATATATTTCTTTTGTTACTCTGTGTATACACTCGTGGTAGCAATATTTGTAGATATGCTGTAAGTACACCACCTACCTGTACATTATATATAGAATCAGTTCGATCTAGAAGTACGCCAACACCGTTTGATTGCCTGCATTTACTAGTGGTGTTAGACAGGAATGGGCGAAGTGGACATGGCATCTGCCCGGTAAGCGGAAGGTTGTGGGTTCGATTCCCGCCCCTGGACACTTTTATTTTTCCGTTCGCCATTACTCTTCATATTTTCACCCTTTCATACTTCATCCAAAAAAGTTAGAAATAGTAAATATTTCTCTTTGAAATAAATATTGATTTTTCACATAAAAGAAACTTATGCGGTGCAACTTTAAGTGTTTTATAATCATACGCCGCAGTCCTTTATAATTTAAATAATAATAAAACTGCTTCAATACGAGTCTGGAGCCCCGACAGCCTGCCTGCAGAGACTACCCGAGCGGTCGCCCCCCACCGAGTGACAATTCCAGTCAACATCCCCGCTATTTATAGAGCACACAATAAAAATACTCTCACTCCCGGAAAGATAAGATACAAAAGTTGTCGTCGTCGTCTGGGGTGGAGATTACGTCCTCCCCCTCCTTTCTAAATATTGGCTGGGTGCTGAACGGCCTGTCACCTGCACGTGGCTGCACTTGGTCTCTTTCTCTTTTTTATTCTTAAAAATCTTTTAAATGTAGAGTTATTTGTAGGGGTAATTTTGTCCTTCAATTTGTTTAAGAAGAATATCGACACTCACAATTATTAAATGAAATATGAAAATAGCGGGGAAGGCTTTGTGAACCTTCTCAGTGACTTTACACCTTAATCTACTAACCAGATTTAGTCTGTATTTTAAGGTGCATTTTTGGGTGTTCAGACGAAATAATGGATTTCGGATTTAGGAACTAGTGTAAAGTTTGCACCTATTTTTGCTTCGGGCAAAGCCCTTCAGCTTAAAGGCATTTCATCTTATTGTGATCATCATCTGTGTGTGAACTATTTTTAAGGTCGCCCAACTTGTTACACTATTCGGATACGTGTTAAATACACTAGATACAAGCATATATCATCTTTACAAGTTTCCAATAACTGAAGTTTCGGAAAATAAACCAGTTTGGAGGGCTGACTACTTGGCTCCAAGTTACTTAGGCTTGCTATTGATGTATATTTGAATGAAGATCCTACACCAAAAAGGATCAGTCTGGTTACACAGCCTAAGGAACACTTTAAAAACATCGTTAAATGTCAATAAACTTGATGGCCTTTGGGGAAGGCAAAGTTCATAATTAAATAAATTAAAATCCTCTGGAGTAACTTGATAAAGAGAGAAAAATCAAAGATAAGGAGGATAAGTTTCTTTTATGAACAAACAATCAAGCTTTCGGGCACAAAGTCGCCCTTCTACAGGAATAAAAATATACAAAATCAAGATTGCTAATTATTTGTATATATATAGACGGATCTTGATTTTGTATATTTTTATTCCTGTAGAAGGGCGACTTTGTGCCCGAAAGCTTGATTGTTTGTTTATAAAAGAAACTTATCCTCCTTATCTTTGATTTTTCTCTCTTTATAAAGTTCATAATTAGGAAAAAGTATACGGACAAACCTTTCTTGAGTGTATATATATATATATATATATATATATATTTTTTTTTTTTAAAAGGAAAATCGCACACCAAGCACAAGTGGATCGAAACTATGAAGAGCCGAAGAATTTGTCAATACATGTTTCTCCGACTCCAGTTTTTGTTCCTGTTTAATGACTCCTTTAAGAGTCTCTAAAACTGTACCTCAAAACTTTCTAGCTCTAGCGAGCCAAGTTTGCAGTGGCCTTAAGCACTTTCTCACCCCGGTCATTTTCAACCTTTCTCGACCTTGTTGAAAGCTAAATTCAAATTATGAAAAGTCGCGTCAAATCAACGTCTTACCCACCACCACTTTTGGTTTAATGAACTATATGGAGAGTATTAATTTAAAAAAAAATCATACACACAAAAAACAAAACAAAAACACTAATTTGAGCGACAGGTTCCAATTTAACCCTTTAAGCACCATGCAAGACGATGTATCGGTTTGATGTGACTTGATGCTCCTTTTCTCCTTAAAAAAATCTAATGAAAATTAATTAATTGTATTTTAAAGCGTATATTCTGTTGCATTGTTTCATATGTTTATATGAATCATAAAAGCGTTTATTAAAAAAAAAATTAATAATTTTAAAAATAGTTCGATGTCTTTTGAAGGCTAACAATAATCAGGAATGACCTTGAAAACGGCCGGCACCTAAAGGGTTAATCTCTACGCGAAGGTGTTTTGTTTTCAGGGATGGTTAAAAAAACTTTCCATCATGGTTGATGGTATTAGCACCCATATGACATATATAGACGGTGTGTTCAACCTTTTTAATTAAAGCTATCAGATTCGAGTTATATAAACGGAAATATCTTTCTTTACGGGGCTGCTATCCAGAATGGATGATTTTGAGCCCCGATGGACGCATAAAGTGGAATATATACAAAGCACTATGTACATTGGACTGTTGGAGGGGCCTGGGGATGGGTGGCCAGGGGATCATCGCCAGGTGAGGCCAGGAGAGCCAGGATGTAGAGGAGGGGGGCAGGGTGGTGATACGCGGAGATGATGAGTTATATAAACGTCGTAAGTATCATCATTGCTTCTTCTGCCATTCCATTAAATATGCCAGTACTTGTCTTGAAGACAGGTCCTCACTTCACCAAGATGCCAGGCCTCGCCACTCTAGCAACTAGCACTGGCAAAAAATATGCTGGTGAAGGCTCAAGTGACTTGAAATTATTCATCACATTCTGAGGCACACAATGGCTGTTCCAATTTTATCCTCGAAATATTTAAAGTCTTCTTGTTTGAAGTTACTCAAATTGAGAAACTCCAGATAATATTTGTACGGTCGCAAGGCTACAGCTCCTTCTAATGACTAAGGAGAGCTGACCGTCGGTAAACGCCACGGCTCCTGCTATCTCACTGTAGCAATCTGCGTGCACAGCACAATCACAGCAGAGATTTAAAACCAGAACAGGAAGTAGGGGCGGCGGAACTGGCGATTTCCCACCAATTTCCGTCGCTGCCGTGGCAGTTTCTTGGTGTTGGTTGACACTGTTGTCCGACACCAGCCGGGACAACGGCCTCGGCAGACACATTCTTGTTGGTGGTCATATTCCTGGCTCGTGGTCTAAGCTACCCTCTGATACCTAGGTTCAAAACCCTCGCATTTCAACGGTTAAAAAAATATACACCTATCCCCCGATTTACACGGTAGATACGTTCCTGAGAAAAACGTGTAAATCGAAAATTAAAAATTTTTGCGAAATTTTTATGCGAAGAAATACAGACACAGTGTGCGTGTGCAGCAAGTCAGCACATAAGCTCAGGATTCCTCGTGAGATGTGTACACAGCGCATGTGTTCAATCACAGTAGCATTTAGTATAGTGCGATAAAAAAAAAAACTTATTTGGAAAACCGTGTAAAAGCGAAAACGTGTAAAACAAGTACCGTGTAAATCGGGGGATAGGTGTATATCAAAAAGGAAAATGCATATAAATGATTAAAATATTGCTCCAATTGTCTCCTCATTCTCCTTCCCCCCACCCCCGTTTTTTTTTTTTGCAAATGTTCAACCCCCTCCAGTAATTGCAAATAACAAAACGATCTGGCACCTTGTACGTTTAAATTCTAAGTCCTTCTATATGTATAAGAAATGTGAGATGCACTACAGTATAAGCATCCTCTCCTCATTGCGATATTTATCATCTATACTTCGATTAAAATGAAAATTGATTTAAAAAAAACTGAATATCTTTAAAACATGACTCGACTAAAGGAATATATATGTAGAAAATACCTTTTTTTTTTAAAGCCTCATGTGTCAAACGCCTCAGATACATAAAACATATACCAACTTCCCCACGTAACTAATTCGCGGCAATTAGATCCTGGGCTCATTGTGGCGATTCCAGATTAACCAACCCATAGCTCTTCTATTGTTTCTAGGGGAACAAATCGTTTGGCTCGACCCAACTTTCTGTGCCACACTTTTTATTTGCATTTATATATATATTGGTGTTTTTACTATTTTTATTTTTTTATTTTAATTTTGTCGGGGCGTGTGAAATCAAACCGCCTTTAAACTATTTTCGACGGGTTTAATGAAGCCTTGTCGAATGCTAGGGGCTGGAACACTTGGTTCATTTCGAATGAATAACCCTATAGGCGTTGCAACTGGCGTTTTCACGTAGATTTTCTATAGGAACTTCTGTTCTGCGAGATGATTCCACCCTTGGTTGGCTTTCAACTACTTCTTATATATTTGCTCACAATCAGGTGGCCACGCCAGTATTTCTGGCCATTATACGATTAAAGTACTCCTAGAAGGGTACGACGTGAGTCGCTCTGACATATGGCGTATATCACTATCCGGTACTGAGATATAATTTAATCGTATATACGAGGTGTGTTCAAAAAGTATCGCGAATTTTGAATTTTCGCGGGTTACGTATATTCGAATTTCGATCTTTTTGTGGATTTATGTTGGTACTCATGTCACTTATGCCGACAAGCTCGGCCATTTTGAATGTTCACTTAATTGCTGACAGCTGCTTTGCTTGCAGGTGTTTTGGATCGTCTTCAATTTTTAACTATTAAAAAAGATGGATCAAAGAACCTGTATCAAATTTTGTGTGAAAAACGAAATTAAGTGCGCGGATGCATTCCGAATGTTGACTCTGGCATACGGAGAAGCTACCTTGGACCGAAGCAACGTTTATCGGTGGTACAAAATGTTCTCAGGAGGCCGTGTGCAATGTTCTCGTAGTTCAGAAACATCAAATATTCTTACAATAATACCCTGTGATGGCATTTGACGTTCCTGGGGTCTCTCTGGAGAAATCTTATTTTAATCCCGGCAAGACGGCTGGCTGGCGGGCGGAATGTATGACGTTCCCTAAATAGAAGATCGATGCTTTCTTCCTAGCGCGGCGCTGGCATAAAGTGACGGAAGTCGCGTCGCGCTCTTCATTAATTAGTCAATCAATGGAAGGACAACATTGTAGCGACGGTCTCATTTCTTACTGCACCTTCACCTCCAAAACACATAAAAATACGTTATCCTTTTCTCTATAGGAGATAGAGATACAAAAATCTCTAATAAAATATATTATTTAATTTTTTTTATAT